TGAGAGGATGAAAGGTGACCTTGGAAAATCTCATTTGGAGGGTATTCGAGTTCTTTTTGCTACTAAAATGTTTTAAAAATACATTTCCTATATATTCTCTTTCATATACTATCAGTATCTTTGGATATAAATTAGTAAAGATAAAAGAAGGAAGAGGAAAGGAAAAAAAAAAAAAAAGAAGAAGAAATGATTAGTATTAATTTTGTTTGAAAAAATAAAAGTAGAGTAAAGGAGACAATAATATTTTTATTTAATTAATTTAAAACATAAAATATAATAAATTATAAAGTTTTACTAATTAAATAAAAAATTAAATAAAATATATATACATATAATTTTTTAAAAAACTAAAAAATTAATCATAATCCATTACAATCTCCTAAATATAAAAGAATAAAAAATAAAAGAGTAAAAGAGGATATTCTTATGGTATAGTGGTTATCTTAATTTTATAAAGGATTTTTTATGTAACTTGGTGATGTAAGGCTCACAACTCAATATTAAAAAAAAAAGAAAAAGAAAAAAGAGAGTAAAGGAGGTGCCTTAACCCTCTTCTTCATTAATAAAATAATCTAAATAAAGGAAAGTATACATCTCACTCTTCTCCTCCAAATTCCCAAATCTAAACTCATTGGAAATATGTGGCGTCAGGAATCCATCAGAAGATGGTATTAGAAAATATTACTTCATTGAAGCTTACAAAGGTGAACTCTGCCTCACATTTCCTACCATGAAGAAAACCATTTTTACTTTTATAATTTTTCGGGATTGTTTCGAACTAATGCATTTGCCCCTCCTGATACATGAGGTTTCTGTTCCTTTAAAAATGTTATTAATTATAATCTTTTTAAATAAGAATTTAATAAATTAATTTAGTTTCATGCTTAATTTTTTAGAGTATTGATTAATAATCACTTTTTTCTATTAAAAATGCGAGAATTGCATTTTAGTTTTGTATGGATACATGTATATATGCGCTTTTCAAAAAAAAAAAAAGATACCGTATATATGTATAAAAATTATTATTTATCTGTCTTATTTTTTAAAAATTAAACGGGAAATTGTTTTTAAAATTATGTCATTTTACTAAATATTATGGAAAAAAAAAACAAAAAAAATTTAATTTATGATTTAAAACTATGATATTTTAGTTTTCTTTAATAAGATTTTATTGAAACATAATTTTGAAATAATTATTCTCATAATTTTTAGAAAGTAAAGTGTGTAGACACTTTTCAATACATATATATAAAAGTATTTCTCAATTATATTTCTAAAAAATAAAAAAAATA